TTATTGATGTTGACAAAATCCGACCATTCCACCGTCGAATCAGCGAACTTTTGATAAAAAATTTCGTTTTTCCTCAATAACTCCTAAACTGTTGGTCGTACGGGAAAATTGCATAGGACCTTTCTTGTAGAGGACGACGAGATCTACAATTTCTGTATAAAAAGGTTTCGCTAGTATCTATAGTTTACGAGTTATTTGCAAAAAGCTGTTTTTCCGTTTTTCGTCAATAACTCGTAAACTATTAATGCTAGCGACAAATTTTTATATGGAAATTGTAGATCTCGTCGTCCTCTACAAGAAAGATCTGATGCAATTTTCCCGTAGATTCAACAGTTTAGGAGTTATGGGCAAAAAACGAAAATTTCGCGAAATTTGAAGGGGTACCCCTTGGAAAAATCTCGGAAAAATCGAAACTTTTTTTTTTGTTGTTTATTATTAGCAATGGTCTTCCGATGTCTGATTTCTTTTTAAAAAATGCGTTTCTAAAGTGCATAAACTTTTGGGATTGACTGTATAGCCAATACATCCTTAAAATTTCGAGCGTTAATCGAATGATTGTTCGGAAGGTACCGGCGGAGTACTACGAAGCGGTGACCGTGTATTTCAGCGACATCGTTGGATTCACGGAGATCGCCGCGGAGAACACACCTTTAGAAGTAAAATTTCGTACAAACAGACCCGTCGATTTTTATCCGTTCCATTGTACAAATTGCCACGCGCCCTTTTTCAGGTGGTCACGTTTCTGAACTCGATTTACAAGTTGTTCGACGCCCGTATCGAGTGTTACGACGTATACAAAGTCGAGACCATCGGCGACTCGTACATGGTAGCTTCCGGGTTGCCCGTTAGAAACGGTGAACATTTTTTCTCTACTCTGATTCGATCAATTCTTTATATATCTAATAATAGAACCTTTTAAAGGGGACAAACACGTGTCCGAGATAGCAACGATGGCCCTCGATCTCCTCGAGGCATCGTCGATATTTCAAGTGCCGAAACGACCAGGAGAGCGTCTACAGATACGCAGCGGTGCGCACACGGGACCCGTGGTCGCCGGAATCGTGGGAAGCAAGATGCCCCGGTACTGCCTGTTCGGCGACACGGTAAATACGGCCAGTCGCATGGAATCGACCGGGGAAGGTACCCGTTCACTTTTCCAATGAGTCTCTCCTCCTCCTGTGTGCCTCGATCTTAATTGAATTTGCTCGTAGCTCTACGAATACATATCAGCTTGGAAATGAAAAAGGCTTTGGACGCTGTGGGCGGTTTCAAGATTGCGCACCGTGGCCTGGTCGACGTCAAGGTAAAAATTTTCGATCCAACGAACTCGAGCACGTCCGACGTGAATCGTGCGAACGAATTTGGTTGAAGGGCAAGGGACTGATGGACACCTACTGGCTGGAATGTAAGGACGGGGGGATCGCGCGTGCCGCGGAATTGGATCAGCCGTCGTTCTTCGAAGACGTTCGACCAGTCTACATACGTCGACTACGGGAGGAGGGTGCCCTCTGATGCGAGCCGTACTCCCGTCGGGACCTCTGGTACCTGAACCGACCGCCGACGACCTACATACGTCTTTCGCAACCAAACCTCATCGATCATTTGAAGAGACCTGTCCAGGGTCGCAAGAACCGTTTGTCCCATCCGAATCTACACATCACCCCCGTGAAACCGCCGCCCCAGTCGCAGTCCAGCATCGAGTCTCAGGATTCGGCGACGTACGAGGGCACCCACTCGACGACGCCCTGCCCGCCAAGTTACTCGCCCGCGAGTCAACGAAGTCGTTACTCCCAACCGAATCTGCCCACCCTTCTTATATCGTACGACCGAAGATCCAGCGGCTCCCCCGACCGTCGCATAAGGATGTCCCAGCCGACGTTGAATTACAGTTTCAGCGGGATGAACATCGCCGGGATGACTCGCGGCTCCCGATTGTCGTACACCAGCCTGAGGGCAGCGTCCGGAGACAACAGTATCAACGAGGAGAGATTGTCGGCGCCGAGTGTGCAGGGTTTCGGTGGAAGCTCGAGGGGCAGTTTGACGATGGAAGTTCAAGGTTCCTCGAGGCTTTCTCAGCCGGACGTGAGGAGATTCACTTTGCGGCAGGACGTAACGGGGAAACGGGAACGTCTCTCTCAGCCGACTCTGGTCACCGGCGACTATCATCCCGGCCGCGGTCAACAGAGGCTGTCTCAGCCCTGTCTGAGCTCCGGCAAAGACATTCATCTGCCCGCGATGATGTTCCACAGCCCCTCGCCGCCGCCTATCAAGCACAAACGATTCTCGCCGGGCATACACGCCAGCCACAGGGATCGTTTGTCGCAGTTGGACATCGGCGCTAAGTACAGAAACTTCAAAGAGTCCGCGGGGACCAAGTTCAATCGGGACAGATTCTCTATACCGGAACTCGAGACGCAAAACGATCTGAAGCTGATCGCCGGCACGCCGAAGCAGCGGTTTAGTCTGGACAGTCAACTGACGCGTAATCAAGACATGACACGGTCGAGATTGCTGCCGATTGCCAGTTCGCCTATCAGTGAACACCATCCCAGAATCGACGAGCATCCGGTGATCCCAAGCGCGAGGATCTCCGGCGGCAGGAGTCCCACCACGGAAGGCCTCGGAAGAGTGTTGATGGCTAGCACCACGCCGATACTACCGCCGAGCGAGCGGCACTTGCTGACCGCCGAGCTGAGCAGGGTAGTGTCGATCACTTCCACGGCGTCGACTATGACCCAGCAGAAGACCACGATGAGCAGGCTTCACAGATCTGTATCACCGATTCCCAACAGGGAGAGGATGTCGGTGCCGGAAATAAGGAACTCGAGTCTGCGCCGATTGCTCGATCCGCCGACCAGGCAGAGGCACAGCATCACGGGCAACCTGAGGCAGAGCATCTGCTCGCCGATAAGGCCTCTCGACCTCGGCAGAAAGTCGCCGAAGCATCTGTTCGAGGAAGCCCTGGAGAGATTCCGGAAGGACGAGAAGGAGGAGAACCGTAAAAACGAGACGTCGAGCTCGCAGACGATCATCAACATCGTCGACGCCGAGCCGATGAAACACATCCAAAGACACTATTCGTACACGTACGAGAGCACGGACGACACCGGCTCGTTGTTCGACAAGCTGAACATGTCCGTGGTACCGAAGAAGAAGTATCTGGAGAGCAACTTCGACGAGAACGAGCAGGTGATCACGACGGTAATCGAAACGGACGTGCCGATGATCATCGCGAATCCGAAGTACTCGAAGAAGTCGCCGTACTCGAGCGAGACGCCCAAGTGGATCAAGAAGTACCTGGAGAGTGAGAGCCCAAAGCGCGGTAGGAAGGCGACGAGCAACAAGGAGAGAGTGTGTAGAAAGGACAGCCGCAGGAAGAACTCATTGGAATCGGTGGACGACGAAAAGATTACGGACAAGACTAAAGTTCGTTCGAAGTCGGTCAGCAGCGGTGAGAGAAGTCCGAGGAACGTCGGCGCGGTGCAGTCCGAGGTGAAAAACATGAAGAACACGTACGTGACCATCGTGCCCTCGAACAGGACTCGGGAGAACAAGTACGAGGTAAAGGTGGAAAGTAACTGGCTCGATGGTAACGTTCGTGGACTGTACGACGAGGATGAATGCGACGACACGGACTCCGACGATTCCACATCCATATAAATATACTCATTGAACGCACGATTCTCGGGGACGCATCGTCGTCGAGGTGGAATTTGAAGTTAATTCTGAAAAGCTGATTCTTCCGATAGCTCTATACGTCTCCCGGATTTACCTCTGCATTTTGTCAAACGGCAACGTTCAAGGATCGAAACAACGATACTGACGATGAAAGATGAAAAGAAAAAAGAAATTTGTTCAGCTAAACTACGAATTGGCGCAGTGAGAAATTTGAACAAAAATTTTATGTTCTGTACTTAAACCATGGAAATGTTATGATTTTTATGCAGAACGATATTTTTCACTGGTTACCAGATCGGGGGAAATCGCGTCGATAGGAATCAAGCTTGATCAGCCTAAAGTACACACCTGAACAACGGAACACTGAAAACCTGACACGTCTAATTCGAAGTATTTTCTCACGTTACTGTATATACCGTGAATCGCCGCGAACGAACAATTACAGATGCAAATACTTAAATTGTGTCCAATCATTGTCTTTGCTGAATTTCAAACGTAGATTCAACGCGTTAGTTTCTTATTTTATTATTTCAACGAAACAGTATGTCGTTACTACCCGAGATTCGTATGCGACGCGTAACACTTCTCTTGGGCCCATAGATCGTTCGGGATGCGTGTTCTCTCGTCGATATACCACCGACTTTGGATCGTAATGATTTTAGGGGATGTGCGCCGAAAGAAAATATTCATTTTCTTTTATTCTGTACTAGTCATCAATGAGATTCACACGCGAATCCAGTCAGAGTTATCTATTAATGAATTTTAACTCTCAGAGTGAATATCCTGTGGGAACGGAATATCCTGTTAAGCGAGGAATCGATATTTATCCGTTTTAAAAAGAAATTATGATACACTCGCGTGTAGAAGACTCGTGTTTCGCATGAACGTTACGTCGTATAAATATGTACTAGAAAAGTTATGATATTATAACGATGAAACGTAATCGATGTGAGAGTCGTAATATCGTCGTGAACTCGGTGTGAATGTATGTAATATCGCGCTCGTGAATGTGAAATTTAGTTACTGTTCATCGTTAGCACGTGAAAGGAAAAATGTAGCTCTTTATGTATGTCATTAAATATATAAAAGATGTTATACATTCAAATGTAACCGACATGTATTTAATTTTTAATAAACACGAGTTCTTTGTATACTACCTACTCTGCATAATTTAATCTTACGTCGAGATTAGAAACACGAGCGAACGGACACGATGAGCATCGAAACATTTCGTCGCACCTTCTCTCAAAATGCATGTATTGTGCAAATTCTTATATGTATACCATTTATTACACCTCACAACACTTCCGTTCCTAAAAATCTCTAAGAAACTTTTACTCAGATAAAATGCGCACCACACAGTTGCAATGCGCCTCGAATTACCACTTACCATTACATCAGACATGGCATCTCATAAATATCATCGTAACTACCTCACGAGCTCATCAAATCGTTCCGTACGCCGGTACTCAGAATCGTTATTTATTTTTAAGATTGCCTCAAACATTTGCTCAAGTCCCTGTTTCCAGTAAGCGACGGGGACCGGATATATAGGATAGACAGGGATAAGAAATGCTTGAGGCGATCTTAAAAATAAGTAACCACACTGAATACCGGCTATCGAAAGTTCCATTGTTCACAGACATTGACACGTACGTTCGAATCGAACCTCGTACGAACTTTCGTGTGCACCGTCGTCTCATCGTAATTGAAACGTAACAAAGATAAAAAGGATAGCGGTTTGTGAGGATGTAGCTCGACCGCCCGATTCGGCGGACAACACTGACGCTCTGACGGTGTCCACGCGTTCATCAAGCGACGACTTTGTTACGAAGTCGATGTTCTTTCAAGCACGGCATCGAACAGAAACGATTAGAATTATATTCGAAAGGCACCTGACCTGCCATGTCCACGCCGCACTGAAAGCACCGGGAAACTAAGGCACAGCCTTGCTTCAAAATCCGTTGCTCTGCAGCAAATGCTCTCTGCAACACGTTACGACACGAAAGATCGATTAAAGATACAGCACGTTAAAGACGTTAGACGGGTGTGTCAGCGATCTCGTCTTCGAGTAACCACCTTTTCTCGATCGCTGAGATCCAGGAATCTCTGTTTCGCGTCCTCCTCTTGTCTCTTAAGTTCGAACTCCTTCTTCTTCACTTTGTCCTTCTCCCGTTTGATTTTCCTCTGCTGTCTCTTTTTTTCCAGTTCCTCCTGTTCTATCTCGTCGGTAAGCGGTCCGGGTATTTGAGACTGCGCGACAAATCCATTCGTTATTTCACACGCAACGGTAACATCGTCCTAAAAACCAATAGTTCCACGTACTTTGCTATAATTGAATTTGTCCGGATTAGAACCCATGAATCTTCTAAATGTATTTCTAGTTTCCTTATCGTTCGCCGCTGCGTACGGTGTCTGCAGTTTTTTGTTCTTACTGCAAGGATCCGATCCGATTTCAAGTAATTGCCTGTAGCCAAACGATTCGATGAACACTCTTCGAACAATTCTGTGATCACAATGCTTACCATACTAGTTTCAAGTGTCCGCCTAGAGCTGCCAAGTGCAACATCGTATTCCCGTCCTCGTTGGTATCGTTAACTAACTTCGTCACGTCGTCCCTGTTTATAATTGAACTCGAATCAGCCGCGTCGTCTTCTTTGTTCCGTTCTAACTCCACGCCCTTCTCTACTTCAATGAATAAACTGTCGACAGTGGACGAGAGTAATTCACAGTCGCCTAATTTGCACGCGGACCACAGCTTGACTCTGGCGTTGGCTAACGTCTCGTTCACGGGACACGCTTCACCGTCCCTTCTCGCCTTCTTTCTCTGACGGCGAGCTTTCTTGCTCTTCATGTATCTCGGCACGGTGTCTTGAAACGCCAGCAGGTTCTCATGGAAGTCGATCTCCATCTCTTGTTCGATCAACGAGACGTCCATCGGAACGCCACCAGCACCAATCGAGTCTAACTCCGACTCCGAAGACGACTGTGCCAATTTAGCGACGATGTCTGAGGGAACGACAACGACTTTTGTCAACTGTTCAATCAGGTTTCATTCACATTTACAACGACAACGTTCTATCTTTACCGGGTAAAGGACGACACGGACTCTTCCTTGGCTTCGCTCTGTCTATATGGGACCGAGAATTTCTGTGCTGTCTCTCGGGAGAGGATTGAACAGGAACCTTAGTCTTATCGACCTCTCGCTGATTGCGCGCACCATTGGCAGTGTCGGACTCGCACTCTCCGTTCTCCGTTTTCTCCGCCACTTCGTTGGTCACCTCGGTTCTCGACACTTTCTTTCTGATCGGTTGACGCGGTGAAATTGGGAAACAGTCCGTAAAGTCAGCTGCGGAACCTGCGAAACGACGAAGCAGATGTGAACACGTCACCCGGTAGAACGTGAAATTAACGTCGTACCGTAGATCTCCATAGTACTCAATATATCGTACACCCTTTTGACTTCGCTGAACGTCGCCCTGCGAGTGGGGAACGGTAACGGCCTCAATCTCGAGTCATTCTTGTCTAAAGGTGGATTCTTCCCCCCGAATAATACGGTGCGGTTATACGGGCCCACTGCTCTGTACAGAATCAGGGAGGAGCCATTGATATGAGGCGACCATGATTCGAGTATTTCTTGCACATGCTGAAAGACCGTTAGGCGTTAATGTGTACGAAGATATTTACAGCTCGGCTGAATTAAGAAGCGGAATACCTGAAGGAGAGATGCTTCGTTGTAACGACGTAAACTAGTCCCGGCACTCTTCTGATGATTAGCCGTTGTGCGCGAACTTTGTGCAAAACCCTGTTTCGCCCGCACGGTGTAGGAATGAAACGTTTTATGAACTACCGGTTCACCATCTGAAATGGGAATGATTTCCTCGTGATCCATGTAACGCGGAACACCGCCTTCCCTCCGAATCGAAGCTACCTTGAAACACAGCTGCAGCGAAATGACCGCCACCAATCATGATAACAGTCCACGTCGTCCGCCTTCCACTGTCTAATGCCTGAGCAATCATCTCATTGTCTACCGCTGGAATTTCCTAAAATGTAATTGCATCTCTCCTGATCTGGCAAGTATAGACACGCCAAGTGATTCTAACAAAGTAGATCAAATTACCAGATAAGATCGTAGACAAGAACGTCTATATTTAAATTACTCGAGAGACTATATCTTTCAAAGAGTATAAAGAAACAGACCTTTTTATTGTGAAGCAAACACCTGTAAATACTAAATATGTTCCCATCGTCGTTCTCAAAAAAGACTTTCGAATGACGACTCGCAGTGATCAACAAGGTTTCCAGCTTTTTCTCCTTCGTAACGTCGTCGCATTCCGCGTCGGAGCCATCGGAAACCGATTCCGTGCTCTTCCCTTTCTTCTCGGTCCTCTTGCTCTTAGCGGCACTGCCTTTAACGTCGGATTGCATGCTCGGCGAGCCTCCCGCTTCCGAGGTGTACGTTTCCTCTTCATTCTCAGAATCAGTATCGCTCCCAGACAGGCTCGAAACATCACCTATGATCGTAAACGATGTTTCATGTATAACTCGTGGCGACTGATCTCTTCGACAATTGCCTAAGCAGTACCTTCGGCAGCTAAGAGGGCGAACTTGTCTTCGCTGATAGATTTTAATCCATTTAAACGTTGCTTCAAGTTGTAACGATGCCAATCCAATTTGTAATGCAGCCTCTGTTGCGCTTTATCTTCGAATATCGTGTTGCAAAATGAACAGCACAAAGAATCCGACACGACCAAATCGTCAAGTTGGCTGAACACTCTTTCGGCTTCTGAAACTGCGATTTATAAACCTTAAACGTTGTCCGAACGACACGATTATAACGTTCGAAGCACAGTACGAATTAGTGTTGCGCGTTCCAAAGTTCACGGATGCGATCGACTCGAATGACGTAATTAAACGGACAAATGGAACAAGTAGCAAAATACTCCAAGAGTCCCAGCTTTGAAAAGAAATAGATAACGATTCGGAACTTGATCGCACGCTCATTGTAGATCGCAAACGTGAACTCGTCATTGATCTAAACAGAATTACCAGATGATGTTCTCGATTGCATGCATTGTGCAACTTTTATTCCTCTCGTGATTCTGTCGAAGTCTTCCTGATTGTATATTTTAAACATCTGATGATTCATCGTGTTCGCGGCGTGTTGTAATCTCTGTAACGATGATTTCGAAGTCACGTTGGGAAACGACAAATTCGATCACCGGATCGAATAAAATAGATAGAACGTGTAAATCAATTTACAAAACACTCAAAAAGAAAATGACAGGAACACTACTGCATGCTTTGCGAGGCGCTGATGTTGCGAGGCGCTCGTGGCGCCATCTAGCGTAAATGGCTGCGAAAGTGCTTGGCCCCAATGAGTTTGGAGGTGCTCGTGGCGCCATCTAGCGTTCACGGCTGCGAACCCGCTTTTCTGTCTGGTGCAGCAATATTGGAGCCAAGCACTTTCGCTTTTGACAAAAAATTTGGTTTTTTCTCAATAACTCCTAAACCGTTGGTCGTACGGGAAAAATGGATACGACCTTTCTTGTAGAGGACGACGAGATCTACAATTTCTATCTAATAGTTCTTCGCTAACATTAATAGTTTACGAGTTATTTACAAAAAACCGTTTTTTCGTTTTTTACAAATAACTCGTTAACTATTGGCACTAGCGAATTCTTTTTACGCAAAAATTGTAGATCTCATCGTTCCCTACAAAATGAGTCTAAATACGCCCTCCTACGTCCATCCGTTCGGGAGTTATTGAGGAAAAACGAAATTTTTTGTCAAAAGCGAAACTGCTTGGCTAAAAAAATCATCGTGGCGCCATCTAGCGTTCACGGCTGCGAACATGCTTGACACCGATATGTACGGCAATATTTCTGCAATTTTCGTTTTTCGTCAATAACTCCCGAACGGATGGACGTAGGGGGGCGTATTTAGACTCATTTTGTAGGGGACGACGAGATCTACAAGAAAGGTCCTATGCAATTTTCCCGTATCTCCAAGGGTTTAGGAGCTATTGAGGAAAAACGAAATTTTTTGCGAAAAGTTTGTCGTTTCGACGGTGGAATGGTCGGATTTCGTCAACATCAATAAAATGCGAAATAATCATACTCAACTCATTAAATATCGAAATTAGAAGAAAAGTGCACTATTTCTAATGATAGGAAATGTATTTTTCTAATGTACATAAACTTTTGGTATTGACTATATAGTCAATACATCCTTAAACAGCGAGATCTGTAATAATAGCATTGAATGTACCTTTAAAAACATAGTCGGGTCCAAATGCTTTCGATATAGGTGACGCATGATTATTTTACATCTTGCACAGACAGTTTTATATCTATCAACTTTTACATGTATACGTACATCAGGTTCAAACGCTACATTTGTATGTATTTACTTTCTGAATCAGATTCCGAACAAAGAAAGTTGATCTTTATTCACAGCTGACATCGGACCGAAATGAAATCGTTGGTCGTAAAGAAAATCATGGTTCTCTTGATAATACAGTTTATTAATACTCTCAGTCATTCCACTTTTTAATTCCACTCATTTAATTCCACTCATTTAATTATAAAAATATTTTGCACATTACTACAACACGTATGCAGGACATCGTGAGATTAGTACATATAATAGTTAACGGTTATTCACCCATAGCTCCCTTTAGTCTATCAATAAATATAAATATATCTACAGTCTTAAGTGTAACGAAGAAATGAATGAACGAGCAAGAATTTGAATGAAACACGTGTTTTGTACTTTATAGGATATCATGTGGATGTTAAATCTTGCATAGCATTTAAATACTGTCCGTTGTTTCATTTTCAAACATAAGACATCCCGTTTTGCGTTTCTCTCATAGATAAATAAATCTACTTACAATTAGTTTTAACACTCGTTCTTCACAGTGAACGATGTTTTATACGTTGATTTACGATATAAATTATTAAATTAAACATATAATTAGTTAACAGAAATAACTAATAATAATTCTTTTTAAGTCACACGAGCACCGATACGTTGGTACGACGTTTCAGAGACACATGTAGATGAATATCAGTACTCCATTGATTATTCCCATCAAATAATTAATTTGTATCCTTGATTCCCTTGTAAATCTGAAAGAAGAACGGGGAACATTAGAGAACGAGCAACCGAGAAGATCGCGTGTATGATCAAAACTCTGCGGTCTGTCGCTTAAATCATTTCATTCACATTCGAACTTACCTATGCTTGGAGGGACTAAAGGGGGAGGGTGGATTGATTCCAGGGACATTGCTATCTTTGTAAATTATAAACCAAGTAAAACCCATCGTAATAAGACCACATACTGCTGCTCTTATCAACCATCCAAACGTTTTACAGAACGATGTCGTTACACTTACAACATCATCGTATTGACTAAAGTTAACAAACTTTTCACTTACAATCGACAATTGCTTCGCATCGAACTGCGACACATCCGGTAAATGTGACAATAACAGATTGGACACGTTTGAAAACACAGATGTCGACGATGCTACATTATTCTGCAGCTGCGAATTACTTCCTAGAGAGATGGTACGAAAACATCAGGAATAACAATATTCGTGAGCTCTTTCACATGCAATGCTGCAGTAACGAAACTTGTTAACTCGCGATTGCGAAGAAAAAGGAACAAATCAAAAGACGTACAGTTCATCGCGAACGATGTATTAAAAATAAAAGTTCTGCATTATCGCTCGAAGCTCGTCAATACGAAGATATTGGAAACAATTGTTACGAACGGATATTTAATGTCCGATCGATCTTAAAGAAAATGTATGTACAGGGTGCAAGTTCGTGCAACATACGTGTTAGAGATCATTAATTTCTGAGCAAGCGAACATTCTTGTTTAAATGCTATTTACCGTAATATGTGTACAATTTCTTCAAAATCATGGAGAGCGATATTAAAAGGAGGAGCAAAGTAAACGTCCATTCGTTCCTCTGTATTCTGTGCCAGAACCGTGACGTGCCTTTATCATCCTTACTTCCGACTAGATCTTTCCCTTCGGCACTACCATTGAAACGTATATCCAATCGTTTCTTTCCCATTTTTATTCTCTATCACAGGGAGCACGTACGTACTCTTTTATGGACCAAGCATTCGACCGACCATGAACAACAAACGACACGAATCTCCAAAAATAACAGTGACAGTGAATAATAATAACAGTGTCACGACTAGATGACAGATATACGTCGCTGTTGCGCGTGCGTTTAGAAAGATTTAATTTCAGGGCTGTATCACCGATCATCCTTTGGGAAAATAGCGGATATTCGTTTATTTAAAAGAGCGCGATTGACGTGAAAATTTCTGAACATGTAGCTCTCTGCTGGGTACCACATATTTCTAAAAAAGCGAACCCGTGCAGCCCGTACCTTTGCACGTTCGAATTATTAATGACAACGACCCTGCGAGTAGAAGATCATGGAGGGGCAAGCGATAGGTTGAACAACACGTTTCAGGTTTCAACTTCAGCTAACCGAGAGGTGGTATTCGTTACTGTTCGTTACCCGCACGACGACGGGGAGGAAGCGTTACGTTCGGAGGAGCTGGTCTCCGTCAGGGAACGGGTTTCGCGTACTTACACGTGCATGACACGTTAAATTCTGTGTATACACGTGCCACTGACAAAAAATGGCAACGCAAGAGAAAGTCGGTGTCGGAGACTTGGTTCTCCTGGACGAGATCACGTTGGAGAAGATCGTGGACAATCTACGAGCGAGGTAACGTCACGTTCTGAACGAGTAACAAACCGGGAAATTGGCGGGAAATTGGGGAACGTGTTCCCATTTTTCCCTTGGGAATCTCATTAATTGCGACAGGTATCCCGTTCGTGTCCCGGTGATCGTAATACTTTGTAAATCATCCACCGAGAGGGCGTGGCCTATGACCGCGTACCTGTGCGTATATCAGCAGGTGGTTGCAATCGATTTTTGCCCTAATTAAAATTCGATTTGAACTTGACCTATAAAATAAATCGCGACAAAAACCTACCCCCCTGTCTCGGTCACGAAATCTTCCAATCGATAAGTTTCTTCTCCACCGATTTCAGTTCCGTTCGTAATTAAAATCTTCGTATCCTCGTTTCAGAGGGAAACAGCAATTTTATAATTTACAAATGCATAACTTTCGTTCGTTTTCATACGAAACAATTGTTATCACGCGTTTAAACGCAACATTTATTTTTGCAATGCACATAATCCTCGAGTCTTATCGGGTTCTCTTCCATGAGTCATCGCCTTCGGTTCGCACTTATTTAAAAATTTGCACTGCACTCGGTCGTTCTCGACGACGAGTATGTTTCGATTTCTTTCGTTTTACGTATACTCTCAAAGCATCTCGGACACTCGTCCAATCTTTTCATTAAAAGAACGAATTCCATGATATTCTTTTAATTTGAATGTGTAATCGAACACGCGTCCTTCATATACATGTACTTATGTAGAAACCGAAAAGATGACTAATTTCATGCGCGTAACTGTCGACAAGGAGGACAGATAATCAGACCTAACAGGAACTGTTACGTACCTTCGTACTTGATGTAACTTCAAACCCTCTTTTATATCTGTTATCAACCATCAATATTTGAAATAAATATATAAGATTGCTTTGTAACAATAAATATCCTACGATAAAGAGATAAGATTTATCGTTGTCCAAATAAAAATTATATTTCCTATCTGAGTGTGTTCCCTGTTAAAATATGTTACATGAGAAATAATTGTTTCAGATTCAATGCTGGCAAGATTTACACGTACATCGGAGAAGTGTGCGTTAGTTTAAATCCGTACAGGAGTATTAACTTGTACGACAATGAGCACGTTAATAAATACAGAGGTAAAGCGTTAGGTCATGAAACGGCGCGAGATCAGTAGGAGATATGTGTTATACTCGATGTTACATTTTAGACAGAGAGTTGTTCGAGAACTCGCCTCATATTTTTGCTATCGCCGACGCTGTGCACAGAGAGATGAAACAACAACGTCGTGATACATGCATAGTAATAAGCGGCGAGTCAGGGTCTGGTAAAACCGAGGCGAGCAAAATTATCATGAAGTATATCGCTGCAGTCACGAATTTGACCGGACAGCAAGAAATAGAAAGGTATATAACCCGAGAGCATCCGAGAATTCGTTACGTAGATGAATTTTTACGACGTGCGCATCGGTTTCTCGGATTCTAGAGTTAAGAACATCCTGTTACAATCCAACTCGATACTGGAGGCCTTCGGAAATGCCAAGACGAACAGGAACGACAATTCGTCTAGATTCGGAAAATACATGGACATTGATTTCAATTTCAAGGGTGATCCAATCGGCGGTCATGTCACCAATTACTTGTTGGAAAAGTCGAGAGTCGTGTATCAACAGAACGGCGAACGGAATTTTCATTGCTTTTATCAGGTATGCGCGATAACTTTATTCTGTAAAGTATCTTGTAAAGTGTTTCATTTAAAATTCACAGTTGTTGAACGGCTGCAGTGAACAAGAATTAAATAAATTACGTTTAGTGAGAGATCCAGCTGCATACTTTTATGTCGGTGCTGGGAATTGTAACAAAGCGAGTCCGAGCGATAAAAGTGATTACAAAGCAGTTATGTCTGCGATGTCTACGCTTGGATTCAGTCAAAATGAAGTTCAAACGATTTGGAATATCGTTGCCGGCACGTTACACTTGGTTCGTTGCAATGGAGATAATAAAAAGGACTTAGAGATAAGTTCTCACTCGAAGTTTCGTTCATAGGGCAACATCACGTTTAAACTCGAAGAGGATAAACTTTTCATCGAGAACAGAGCAGCTTTAAACGACACAGCAAATTTATTTTCCATCAGTCCACACGAATTAAGTACTGCACTCACGCAAAGAGTCATCGCGGCAGGAGGAGAAGTCATGCAGAAAACTCACACCTCGACGGAGGCAGAATATGGAAGGGACGCGCTGGCCAAGGTGTAACGTCTTCTACACGACTTTTACCAGTTGAAAAACAGAATTTATCACAAGGGGGAAAATCACATGTTTCAGGCTATGTACGAAAGACTGTTCACCAGCATCGTATCACGCGTCAACGCCTCGATCACTGTCAACGACAACGAAGCTTGCAAACGATACAGAACGATAATCGGAGTGCTAGATATATATGGTTTTGAAATTTTCGACACGAACAGCTTCGAGCAATTCTGCATCAATTATTGCAACGAGAAATTGCAACAATTGTTCATCGGTAGGATCGTATCGTACAGATCTGTCACACCGACGTGAACGAAGTTAACGAACCGTTTTGCTATTTCAGAGCTTGTATTGAAACAAGAACAGGAGGAGTACAGGAAGGAAGGTATAGCATGGCAGAACATCGATTATTTTAACAATCAAATAATTTGTGAACTCGTGGAACAACCCCATAAAGGGATTATAGCGATTATGGATGAAGCTTGCCTCAACGTTGGCAAAGTTACGGATGAAGTCAGTTCTCTTATTACACGTAAATCTACTATATCCGTTCGGGCGTATCGCTCACTAGTTTGTCATGCACGCGTTTCAGATGCTCTTAGAAGCTATGGACAAGAAATTAGTCGACCATCAACATTACAGTTCCCGGCAATTGAAACCGATGGACAAGGAACTACAACATAAAATTCAGTTCAAGATCAGGCACTACGCCGGGGACGTGATATATAATGTCAACGGATTCTTAGACAAGAATAAGGACACGTTGTTTCAAGACTTCAAACGTCTACTTTACAACAGCAGTAATTCGGTGATCAGCAAAATGTGGCCCGAAGGTGCTCAGAACATTTTGAAAGTAGGTGAAACGAGTACGGGTGCATTTCTCCCGTCGCGTTTTCGACCCGTTTTCGTTTATTCGCTGTTTAATTTTAGACGACGAAAAGGCCCCTGACAGCTGGGACCCTTTTCCGTAATTCTATGATAGCTCTAGTCAAGAATCTGACGAGCAAAGAGCCGTTTTACGTGAGATGTATAAAACCGAACGAGGTCAAGTCACCGGTCGTATTCGACGAGGAAAGAGTCACGCATCAAGTGCGATACTTGGGTCTCCTCGAGAACGTATTGGTCAGACGGGCGGGTTTCGCGTACCGTCAACGATACGACACGTTCCTGAAACGGTGACGTTACGCTTCTCTTTACGAACGTGTAAAGTTACGATCATACTAATGGAACTGTATCATCCCTCAGGTATAAAATGATATCCCAATACACCTGGCCGAATTTTAGAGGCGGCAACGATAAAGACGGTGTGCGTACATTGATGGACGAGAAGGGTTTCGGCCACGACGTGAAATACGGTCACACTAAAATATTTATTCGTTCGCCCCAAACGCTGTTCGCGTTGGAAAAGGCGCGTAGCGAGTTGATCCCGGACATTGTGATATTGTTGCAAAAACAGTGGAGAGGATATCTCTGCCGTCAGAAGTATAAGAAGATGAAAGCGGCGCTCGTAGTGATGAAACATTATCGAAGATACAAGATGCGTACTTATATAAATGAATTGGACAAGCTGTTCCGTAACGCGAAAACGATGCGAGACTATGGGAAGCGCTTGACTTGGCCCCGTGAGAATTTCGCCACGCGCCACGTGACACCCGCTTTGAGGACGATGTACAGAAGATGGTGGGCGTGGATGATTCTCAGAGTTATACCCAGAGAAGATTGGCCTCAACTACGATTAAAGGTATTCCGTGCACGTCTTCCGTTCTTCGATTCGATCGTTATACAAACGAATTCTCATCATTTGGACGTGTCTCAGATGGCTGCTGGAGTGGTTTTACGTTCGAAGCGACAGAACTGGGGACAAGACAGGCGTTGGGAAGGGAATTACTTGTCCAAACCTGACGAGAATCCTCACAGCGACGTTTTCAATTCTTCGATAAACAATCTCCGCAACACCGATCATTTCAAGACCGTTCTGTTCAGCGCCTTCGTCCGAAAAACTAACAGGTTCGTACGCTTCAGCGTTATGCCGGGTGTCGGATCGTATGAAACCACTCTGTTCCAAACGGGTTGCGATTGCAGATTCAACAAGCCTAAAGATCGTGTGCTGGTAGTTACCGAGCACGCGATATACAAACTTGAAAATTCCAAATTTAAAACCATGAAGAAGGGTATGCCGATAACAGAGATAACGGGGTTGAGCGTGTCGCCCGGAATGGATCAGCTTATAACGATTCATTCGAACCGAGGAAACGATTTCGTCCTGTCGATCATTGCCAACGACGACAGGGTCGGGGAACTCGTTGGTATTTTGACCAACAGATACAGTCAGTGAGTATGCTCGTCGACGAGATCGATCTTCTGAATCGTACGTACATATGTGAGAGTGATTTAATTTTTATTAGATTACGATCTGCCGATCTACAAGTAACGGTGGACGTGAAATTCAAATGCATGCTAGGGAACAAGAGCAGAGTGTTACGAGTGGAGGTGCATCCTGACGTTCACGAACCAACGTTTAAAAAGGATGGAGATAACGTTGTATATGTCATTCCGCCCTCGGAAAATATAATCGACGGTGGTGCTAATACAAGGTTTCACCCGCGGACTACCAATTGAAACAGTGCCTTTACTTAAACTGCCTTTCTTATGTTTACGCGTAAGTCTATACACGTATTAGCAGACAGATTTTGGAAAGATTTTTATCAATGCATTTCGAAGGCTTCCTTATGCATTTTTCAATGTACAAATAACGTTAGATAGAGAAGTCAGTGGAGGCGGTAAGTTACGAACGGGTGACAATATATTAATTCAATAACGCGAAGCATTTAAATACTAGTACAAATTTGTCGAAGTGCTTAAAGAAATCGTTTCTGTAAATACGTGCAACTATTGTGAATAACTGTAAATCGTTTTAACCGGGATGATGTCCATGTAGAAGCTAAGAGAATTAATACAGTATTGTTTTAAGAGAGTATCGCTCTTCGACACGATCGCCTTACCGAGGTGGCATTCTACTTAAAAGTATTTTTGAAAATATATTTTTACACCGACGGCCATTAAATGTTAATGAGATTCGATGAAAGTTTTTATTATTCTACCGAAATTTCTACGTGAATTAGTCTACAACTTTACGTTCTCAAACGCATGTCCGTAAAGTTAGTTGTTAACAAAGAATTTGTCACAGTTGTTGTACTCAAAAGTTTTCTAATTGTTACGTCACGAATGCGTGATGCTATAATTGTTTCATGGCAATGGAAATTTCATGGAATTTTAAAGAAGGTCGTACGAAACGATATAGCACGTTGTGAAACGGTGCCATTGTTATAAAATAAACTTTTACTGACGTTTATTTTCTACTTGTCTCTATGTCCGTGATTGAATATAAAACCGATCACGACGACAAATGGAATGAATAAAAATTATTCTTACCTGTTACATTTTTTATTGTTCGAACGTAGTAGAATACAATTTTTATACAAAATAATCGGATCGTCTAATCGATGCGTTGATATAGATATATGTATCCTAATTCTTTCGGTGGATTTTCGGACAATGCGACCTGCAATGAATAACGAGTTGTGCCAATACAATTACATTTTCCACTGCGACTCATTCTATCAATAGCGATACGTACTTTCTCGTCATTGTATATCACCCATCGATCATCTCTTAGAAGATGGCACACGTAATGTCCTACCATCGTCGACGTGCCCATATGCGATATGAATCCTACCAACTTGTATTCTGGGAGGCATACGAACGCGGATATAGAACGAATGATTCTAAATATGTACTATCGTAGAAAAAGAAAAACGTACGAGGAGATCCGTCTCGAAAAGATTCGTCTTCGTCGGTTTCCTCGATTTCCACAGCGTCCAGCTCCGCTTGATGACTGAAGATCCAATCCGCCGCGCGTTCCAAGTTGTTGTCCGTCGCTCTCAGAGCTTTCGTTGCCTGCTCCCTCGTGAAACCCATGCCCATCACCATAGCCAACGCGTCTTCGTTTATCGTAAATTTACTCTTTTCTGAAATCAGGGGAGCATAATGTACACGCGAGCACCGATGTTCGTCGGTCTGGTTCAGGCGGCGAATTACTTGGTTTGGCATTGATCCCGGGTGGTACGAAGGGATCCGCGAAATCCGAATCCGCGATGTGCTCCATCAACCAGTTCGTAGCTGCGTCCAAACCACGATTCTCCGTGAAGTACAGAGCCCTTTTGCAAGCCTCCGGTGGAAATCCTATGTCTGTCAATTGGTTCAGTACGTCGGAATCGTAAATGAACGGCGGCAACTCGGCACCAGCTGTTTCTGGCAACAACTCTTCACCGGGTTGCAGTCCATGACCACGGAGGGAACTCAGATCGAGTAAGTCCGGCATCTCGACGGCCACGTCCAACTTAGCCGGCGTCCAGTCTTCTTTCATCATGAATTTTTTCAAATGAATCAACAGATAATCCGGGAAATTGGCAAATCTAGTCGTTCTACGAGAAAATATCCATCGTTAAACGCGTCACGCAGACGTTACGAGCGTCGTGACTCACTTCTGTGCCGTAGTTTTTTCATTTAAAGCGGAACTGTAGAATTGTTCCACGGTTTCTGGCTGTATAAATGCTTCTAAGCAAGACGAGAGCTTTATCCGAGGTCTGACGAGAGTGTTCGAATCCAACTTTTGACCCTTTGCTTCGGTCTCGCTCTTCAACGCCTCGTAGGCTGCGACCTCCTCCTACACACGACACGTTACGTGGAAACATATATCGCGCAAGGTGAGCATTATAAGGACGTACCTTGTTTACGGCAGCCTCTACGGGTATCGGAAGCGGTAACAAGTATTCTGGGCGGTAAGTGTATTTTACTTTGTTAGAACGACCGCACCGATACCTTTCCTCGACTTTGAACTTGAAGCAATCGGTGGGATTCGGCTGCCTGGGTCTCTGACGTTGCCCGACTTCCTGATATCGACATCACAATCATCGTATGAGAAATCGCAGCATTTCTTTGAGCTCGTATACATACGAAATACGATATAATTACGTCTATGATGTTTATGATTTGAAGAAAGAACTCTTGCGCGTCTTGCTGCCGGTTTGAAGAAAATCCGGGATGTCCGCGTCCGACCAAAGTCTTGAACATCCGCGGAGGGATACCTTGGCGCGGCTCGTTCTCATCTTCCGGCGGTACCGAGTATTTACCAGAGAGCAGACCGATTCCAAATTTAGCCCTGCAACACGAAGTCTTATGTATCTCAAACATCGCGTTCTACGCTCTGGCTTCGTTCTCCACTTACATTTGGACGTTAAATTCGTTGGCTGGGTCATTGTAATTCTGCCGAAATATCTCCGGCGCGTTATCTACGTATCTGAAATTGATTCCCGGTCACTGAGAACGACGTGAACGATACAGCGTACTCATCGAAATTGGAATACTTACCTCTTAACGAAGTCCGGTATCACGAACAACATTTGCATCACGCTGTTTAAATAACAAGAATTGCCCAAGTTCGTGAGTCCAGTATATCCAGGCCCGTACAACGGTGTCAGTCTACTCGCCGACTCCTGGAGCGCGACCCATTCGCCGAACTTCTGATTCAGGTCCAATTCAAGCTCGATCATGGACTTCTCCGTTTTCTCCATTTGCGCGATGTTGATGCCCCAGTGAGCCAAGTGCGCTATCAGATTCGGATCCTCAACCATGTCATCCTCATCGTAAGAAAATACATCTCCCTTTCCTTCTTCGGTGATAGTTCCTAACTTCACTGCTAAAGGGTAACCAGTGGCTCTGTAGTGTTCGACTGCGTGATCGTTCCCGCCGGTACCATCGTAAAATTTCCGTCCGCAAAGCACGCTGCCATCGGTCAAATTCAGCCAAAGATTTTGGGTTAAATCACATTTCTCGCATTTCCATCCACTCGGAGGTATCTTCTTTCCATTGTCCAACTGTTTAAGATTCGCAGCGTGTCTGCAAGTTTGACGATAACGTCGAATACTGATAGGAACGATCTACCGTGTTACAATGTATTTTATCAATGTTCCTTCCTACTTTGAAACCACTTTTATTTCTCCGTCCCAAGTTCCAGCCAGTGCCTCTATTTCTGCCACTTTCGTCGCAGATTCTGCCTCCAGTATACATTTAACAGCCTGCTGCACCTAAACGAATCACTCGTTGATTCCACAATTCCTCTTACTCGTCTGCCCTCCTTATACAGGAAACTTACTTGTTCGGGTAAATCATCCGTTGGATAGGGTATCGTTGTAAAATTTGGCAACATGACAATTTGATAAGTCTCGTGGTAAGTGTATTTCTGTTGATCCGGCGTAAACCCATCAGCCGTTCCTATCGCTAATCTAGTAATCTTCTTCTCAGGCCCATCTCCTTGCTTAGAAGGGATCTGAATCGTTTATGAATTTTTTCATCTCGCGTTGAAGTATCCTCGTTTCAATCGCCGTCAAAATTCGTCCGTACTCACCTCTTTCCTTTTTCTTTTAACGTGCAAGAACACCGGATTTTGCGTCGAGTCATAGTAATTCATTACATGATCCCGACCTAATCCCAGAAACGTGGTAAGATTAATATACAAGCCAGTAGGGGTGTCCTTAACAGAGAAAAATCGATCAGTATCATTCGGACGTTATTCCGTTGTCGTGTACAATTGTAAGATAATCGTGACATCTTACTGGAGTATCGAAAGAATAAACACACTCGTCCTTGTATATTTTGTCGGTTTTCTGCGGTATCCTTATCTTCGACAAATGTTTCATCAACTCTTCCATCGCAAACAAAATGTAATCACTGTGAAAACAAAACAAAATTGTTCGAACGAATCGTGTAAATTAACCAATTTTAGTGTCGCCGGTTCGCCGAATCTAAGGTGTATGTATGCCGTATGCGTGATTTGAGAAATGAGAGAGCGCCAAGGGACAGGGATATAATTCCTGTATATGAGTCTTCCCCCGATTCTCTTTAAAACTCAGTGGTGCTCAATAATGGTGGCATCGAGAATTTCATCGAATTTGATCCAGGTCTTCTCGAACGAATCGTACGCCGGGGAAATCAGGGGAAATGAAATAAATAATTTCCTGCGTGCTCGTCGAACTTTTAATTTTTACACGTTCGATCACGCCGCATAACGTCCATCTCATTCCGCTCCGTTCTCTGCCGTTCTGTTCTCTCATCCGCGACGACGCGTCGAGAAGGCAGCATTCTTATCGTGTCACACGAAATTCTGGACAGTAGGCTCACAAAGATGGCATTCCAATAATGTACGAAGTAATCATCTGACTTGCGAACGAAACTTTCCGATTACCTTATATATGATTATTTATTTCTCGCAAGAGATTCAGAACGAGATAAGGAATCAGCCAGAACGGACGTCACTGCCTCGCTTGTGAATCTTTAGGAATTGCAATTTTTAAATCTACATAGAGCACGACTATGACACGACACTTTTGATCAAACGACAGTCGCTTCCCAAGTGCTCAAAGTAGATAACGAATAACTGTGGTAGCTGTCGTCCGACAATATCGTGTTATCGTCATGAATCGAATAGTGATATTTGGTGCTACGGGAAATACCGGATTATGCGCTTTGAACAGCGCTGTAAATAAAGGTAAACTTAGGTTTCTCTCTCCTCGTTTACGTATAAGAAAAAACGTTCGTATCGTTCGAACGGGAAGTCCGAGTTACGTGTAACATTGATTTCTCTCTAACGATCGCAGGTCTAAATGTAAGAGTATTCGTGAGGGATGAAAATAAAGTTCCAGCGAACTTAAAAAATAAAGTCGACATAGTCGTGGGGGACGTTACCAATCCCGAACAAGTTTCGAAGGCGGTGTCCGAAAGGGACGGAGTGGTCGTCGTACTCGGTACAAGAAATGATTTAAGTGAGCATCGCGCGTTGTACACGATATGAATTTACTTCGAACCGAATTAAGATTTTAAGTTTGATTTCTGTACAGGTCCAACTACCGTGTTGTCCCAGGGTATGAAGAATATAGTAGACGCTATGAAAGCGCACGACGTGCAAGTAGTATCTGTCTGCTTGTCAGGTGAACATTTTCTGCCATACGTTACGCACGAAACAATGATCTTGATGCATTTCCTAACAGACCGTTGTTCCCCACAGCATTCTTGTTCTACAAACCCGAAGCAGTGCCCGCTATATTCAAAGATTTGAACGCTGACCACCAACGTATGTTCGACATCCTCAAGGAAAGTCAATTAAAATGGGTCGCTGTATTGCCGCCTCATATCGCTGGTACGCACACGTTGTTTTAAACGTCCCGTGTACACATTTACATACTTATGCGCTTCGCTGTTTTCCAGACAAACCAAATGCAAAGTACGTAGTGAAGCACAACGAGTCTCCCGGTAGGGCCATATCTAAGCACGATTTAGGTTCTTTCCTGGTCGAGAGTCTTGGACAGCCGGAACATCATGAAAAAGTTTGTGGTATCGCTAACATCGCGTAGCGCGACGGACAGAACGCAGTCTCGCACGAATAAACGTTTTAATCTTCCATCTTCTTCTTCGACAGTACATTTTGTAATGTGTAAAAGAAAAAGGTTAATACTTTGCTTCTTGAAGAACGCTGAATAGGAAAGCTTTCAAACAGTTTGTACAAAACATACCGCATCGACTCGAGGATACTGCACAATGTTTAAAGAATGATTGATTCGTAACGTCTGTTGGAATGATTGTAATTTATGCTCTGTGATACGAGAACGAGACGCATCTCCGCGTTTAACAGTAATTAAAAAAATAATTTTCTAGATAAATAAATAAATAAATAAATAATGTACGTATGGAACGCGAGAGAATCGTCACGTTATTGCGATAACTTTTTTACCATGTGCGTCCTCTGAGTTGTCACGCCCAGATCATAGAACTTTGGCATTTGAAAGTTTGGCATCGGAGGAGGCGGTGGCCCACAGCATTGCGTGCTTTTCTCTCTGAGCTTCGCTTTAGCAAACGCTGCGCTCGAGTACACGACGTCGTTGATCCCTGACGCCTTGAACGGATCGCACGTTCTGTACCCGTTCTTAAGGTAAAACACTTCTTGACCCTTAGTTATCAAATACACAGTTTTGATTCCCTTCCGTGCTACGTACTCTTCGGTGCCACGTAACAGTCTAGACCCCAGTCCTTGGGATCTGCGCTTGTAATCGATTATTACTAAAATATTGAAGATCATTGATCGATCACGTCGTAGTTCGGTACTCTCTACATACGACGAGACTCACCCGATTGTACGAAGCAGCTGTGGCGTAATCTTGGAATCAAAGATACTTTACAGTGGCCGAGGACCCTGTCTTCCTCGTCGACGAGTACTAGACAAGTCGGAAATTCATCGCACGACACATTTAGAAACTTCAACCTGTTTAAATCAGAGTTTATTCAATCGTTCGGAGGTACAATTTTCATTTCACGCATATCGTTACAAGTATACCGTGCAGTTTCGCTCCTTGGCCACTCGGAATTAAGTAACGTGCAACAGTCTGGGACTAAATCTGGTCGTTTATGAAGAGGTAGTATTCTGTATTCCTTATCGTTCATAATTTTCCTGTGAAACATTGAAATATAAAATTGATCGTGACCAGTGAAAGGTTAAATAAAGCATATTTCGTGAAACGGCGAACGACCGGTGAAATCAGAGGGGAGCGAATGGATGTTCAAAAGAGACCGCGAGCGACCCTTAAATGGAAACGCGACGGAGCAACAACCTGCGATTGACAGGTATCGAAAAATAGAAAGTGACACGTGTCAGCGTGTGCAATAAATAGCCGTTGTGGCGGAGGTGTCCTTACCGTATTTTTTTTAAACGAGGAGGAGGAGGACGAAGAACTCGACGCGACAATTTTAAAGACCGCCGTACGATGCTTCACCCGTACGTTTCTCGTGCGGAAATAGCTTCGAGATTAGTATCATCTTGCGCTAAGAATGATACTTCTGCTGATCATATCCCCACCGTTATGTAAAATTTTCTCTGCACCCACCGGCCCGCCCGTAGACACACATATACTATGTATCTGTAGACGTAGAATCAGCTCGTTCCAATGATGTGCTCTCGCCGTCTCGACCGTGTCCAGAGCCTTAGACGAAATTATAACGATCTCAATTGAAAAACTTTATACAAATAAATTGTTCAGGTAAATCTTTTCAAAGTTCTTCGTAATCGCCTATATACGATCTTCCCTTATACATGCGGTACAGTTTATTCCTCTCTCCGTTCATATTAGATCGATCATCTCTCGTTCCAATTGTCAACAGTCATTTCGTTTATACACTTGCTTTCTCGCTTGACGAGATTTTTAAACGTTTCGTGCCCAGCAAGAGAGTAAACATTCTGCAGCAATCTGACGGGCGACTTTGCGTTCGAAGTATCTCACTGGGACATGTCCATGACCCAGTCTCTTTTTAACGCGAGTATCTTTTTTTCACGTTTGCTCCATTCTTCTTAATAGCCTCTGTTCTATATGCGTGAACAATGTCGTGCATTCTTTGTTTCAGCAGCGATTGTCAACGATGCTTCCGAGAGATGAGTTTCTTAGAACATAGAAAAATTCGCGCAGCTGTTTCACGTTCGTCTCGTGCGGTAAAAGATGAAATAGATATTTGACGCTGTTTCCGTGTGTCATCCTCTATGTATACATACACATGTATCGTGATTTATTTAGACTTACGATGATTTGAATACCTGTAAGGTGCTTGAGAATCACTGATGATCGTGTCCGAATGGTTTCAATCGTTTCAATGGTTCGTGTTCGTCTGTTTGCATTCACGGTACATAGCATCAACTAATGACACAAACGGAAGCGACTGACAATGTTTTGTGCTAAATTTGTACAGAAACGTGTGTTCTACGATAACTGGAGTCATACACAGTAGTGATATTTCAGTGACTGAAAGTCATTTGTTCGAAACAAAGAATACACACGTTTAGAAGTCTTGCAAGTTGTATAATAAATAAAGATGCTGTCGGCAAGGCCTGTGACAGGTAATTCCAACCAATTTTCCTGATACGATGAGTCTGTTTGATCTTTAACCTCTAACCGTTGTATTAAAAATTCGACAGACAACCCATTGGGGTTATCATGGCACGACAGTGCATGGATTCCTGTATTAAATTCAAACAACATAATGGACTACTTCTCCGAAAGAAGCAACCCTTTCTATGACAGAACGTGCAACAACGAAATTGTTAAAATGCAACGTTTAAGCCCTGATCAGTTGCAGTGAGTAATGTAAACGAATCTACCGCTGGAGCAGTGAATAAAAATGAAGCATTTAATTTCAGAAATATGACCGGTCTCGAGTACATTCTTTTACACGTACAAGCACCCATTCTTTATGTGATCAGAAAGCAACATCGTCATACTCCTACAGCAGCATCACCTCTCGCCGATTATTACATTATCGCTGGTGTCGTCTACCAAGCTCCTGACTTGGCATCGGTCGTCAGTTCCAGATTGGTATTTATCGTTCGTTTAAAATTGTTCCTGAGTTTCACCGTCGTCATAGGATTCTGTTTTACAGTTGTCCACGGTACATCACTTACAGTCCGCTTTCGAAGAGGCCAGCGCGTGTTCGAGGTATCATCCTAGCAAAGGATATTACTGGGATTTCAAGAACGGGAAGGCTGTGACAGCAAAGAAGGAGACGCCTGTTCGCGAAGAACCAAGTTCCATGTTCCAGCGAAAGAGAGTGGACATGCTATTGGCCGAACTTACAAGAAAATTCCCGTTACCCGTACCAAAACCTGTTCACCAGGCCGTGGTGGAACCTCGTGAGTCCGAATATTTCACTATCCTTCATCGCACGCGATCGAGCAACGAAATAAAAAAGATGTTTTCTTCGTTCTCACGTTTAGCGACGGAGAGGCAAGAGGATAGGAAACCGGAGAAGAAAGACATGAAACCACCACCGGAAAAGAAGCCAAAAGTTAATTAATAAAAAATGTACAGTCGTTCGATGTTTGCGTAAAATTTTGTTTTACTTCATGCTGCTGCGACGATCGAGTACGCGAGCTGCTGCAATTTTGCGAAATGAAAACGTATTCGTGTTTTCAGCGTCTGCGGCACCATGGACAGTCTGGATTATCCTTCTCAGCTTTTACGTCTGGTTTCGGTCGCGGTATGCTCTCCGTCTTAGCTTTCTTTCTACCGTACTTTTTAATGAAGTTACACTCTTTGCATTTCACCGGTTCTTCCTTCTTCGAAGGGTAACAGGGTCTTCGAGGCTCTTGTTCACATCCTGCACGTACAAGTGTTTTCTGAATCGCGGTCGACTGAAGCTCTGTCGAACTGCATCGTATTTTTACGAAGCTGTTCAACTCCTCGACACAAACAGTTACGATCTTTACCGGTCTTCACGTCATTCGGGGGTCGACAGGATTTCGAATAACTCTGAGCTGGACACGCTTTCTGACATTGTTTGTTGAACTGGATCAATGCCGAGCGAGAGAATGGAAGAGTTGTCAGTCTGAACTACAAAATTATGTCACGCTCTTTATGCACCGAAGAAAGAATTAAATAGTGTTTCGTTACAAACTCTCAAAATCATTTGCGCCATGCACAGCAAGCCCCGCTTCATATGAAATTTTGAATTCGAGAGAGAACGGACACGATAATTTTATACGTCGGAGGTTCAATCGACCAAAGAAAGGCCAAAAATGGACTGGTTTTCAATTTTTTTCCTTGACATTTCATTCGTGATCTCCCCCCTACGCCCCCCGTTACATGCGACAAATAATTATGGCACTCCGGGCGAGAAGATGATATGCGACGGAGATACGTGTCCCGGGAAGTACGTGGATGAGAAAATTTACGAATACGACGTTTACGACATCGACGAGGATGAATTCATAAAAGATCTACGTCACAAGAAGTGCAAAATAATTCAGTTAGTTCGCCGACAAATCCAAAATCTTCACGATGCTCAAGTAACCATCCCAAAAGTTCAACGCGCGTTAATTTTTAATCGAGAGCTTTTGCGCTCGTGTATCGAAGGGGTGACGATGTAAATTTTTGTTCCCAGTACAACTTACCCACACAGACGGACGAATGGCAGAGCGTGTACGCGCATCCGGAACAACTGCACTTGACCGGGGACACGATCGAAGCATCGCTCCCGTTGCGGCGTGATCTACATCCGAGGAATACGATGTACACCGGACAGGAATGGTGTGTTCATGCGTTGAGAAGAATTCGAAAGAGAATTTACATAGTAGTAGCGGTCACCGGGGTCATCGCGCTGTTAGCATCCCTCTACGGCATTTATTTCCGCGCGTATCTCTGCACCACTGGTGGTAAATCGTGCCTCACGTCTGTTCGATACACCCATGCGAAGCACGCATTGTTTTAAACACGACGGGCAGCGGAACTCAAAAGAGAAACAAAAACGAATCCCTGCGACTGAGTATGGACGATCGAGAATGAGTAAGGCCGTCTAAGACTTGACACAAAATATATTAAACTTGGAATAATACACCGTGTGTAGCGTTTAGTTAGTATGCAACTAGTCTTGACGATTTCTAGATTGTTTTCAGTTCCGTAGATTTTTCTGGTTTCAACGACGAGACATTCGACATTTGCAAGCTGTGTAGTACGTCGTACGTTTCGGCGATGCGCCGTCCCTCGCTGTTTCGTGCAGACACGCGTCGACCCTGGTGGAGACCAGTCGCGGTCACCGGCACCGTCGTCACGATTCTATGGTACGATTCCTCCTCGTGTTCTCGTCTTGTTCGTAGACTTTGAAACGTGTCGGTCCACTTGATATGTTTCGCTTGTTCGTCCTCCCTTCGCGTTCTTTACACACAACTTTCTGGACCGGGTATAGAGTTGGCGATGATGATCTCTTTCATTAAGTTACGGTCAGCTTTAAAGCTAATAGGTTCCCAAGACTTGGTGGAAAATGGATTTAACTGTAACAAGGTTGCGCTCTTGAAAAACTCTTCTCTCTTCCCCGTTAATACGTACGTAATACGCTACTCACGCTGCATCTGTTGCTTTGGAGTCCTTGTTTGTGAACGTCGTACGGTGCAAACAGCGTGTCTGGTCGTACGGGTAAAAATAGTTGGGGTTCTCGCTTCATCTTCTCCTGATCTGCAATCAAACGATCGAACTTTCTTCCCCTGTCCGACACCGAAAGCGAGAACGAGAAGTCCTTACCTTGCGGCGATTGTATGATGTCCGGTTGATTGTTGAGCGCGTAATCTGCGACCTGTTTCAACGTGTACTCGACGAAATAAGTGTGATCCCCGTGCGTGACGTCGAGCATCGAATTACTCCTTGAATCCGGAGGAGTGATTATCGGTTGTTTCATATAAGGCTCGATGTGAACTGGAGACGTGGTTCCTCTGCGTCGGTACATCATCAACATCACCGAGAGAACGGTAACTCCGAACGCCATTAGACACCCGATGAGAAGCAGAACAAGTGGGAGCATGCTCACTCCGCTATCTGAGTCAACGAACGATCGACGATGATCAACGACGTGATTTTCTCGCTTTTTAATCGTGTCCCGTACCTGTACGCTTCTCAGAGTCTCTCAGCATGATATCCTCCAGTAGACTCACTTCGCTCCTTCCTTTCGCGTTCACGGCGTAGGTGACCAGATAGAAATGCGTCGCTGGAAGCAGATCGGAGACGGCGATCCTAAATATCGGCAGGTCCGCCGACACGCTGGACGCGTTCACCCTCAAGTTGCCAGTGAGAACCTCGTACGCCTCTAAACGAAACTCTTGCCTCAATCCGCCGTCGTATCCCGGGACGCATTCTACTTCCAGGATCTCGGAACTTTGATTCAGGGACAACTTTATCGTACAGTTGTTCAGGGGATTCGGCTTCACTGGAAGATCGACCCTCGTTAGGGTCAAGCCCTTCTCCCTCTCCTCGCTTACCGTTTCACAATTTCGAATTACCTGCAGGAATGATCTGATAGACGCAAGGCGCTTCTTGTTTTCCTATCGCGTTTCTTCCCCAACAAGTCAAAGCTCCGTAGTCTCTCTCGGAAACCGGCGTGTAGACCAATTCGCTCGTCGTCCCGTTGTTACCATCGAATTTCGCCGGGGCTACTTCGAAGTTCTCGCCACTGTTGTTGATCTCCCAAACGAATTCTACCTCGTTCGGATCGGCGTCCACCTCGCAGCGTACCTTCACCGATTCCTCCAGCGATGCTCCGATTATCGACACGTCTTTCGCTTTGCAGACCGGTGCAACTGAACGTTCGGACACGTGAATCATTCGGCAACCGCTATTACGACCCTCGTGACATAGTAGTTGCATACTTACATTGGACTCGTAACGTGACCATGGGACTGGTGGTCTCCCCACGATCATTGCTGGCGAGACACGTGTAGTTGCCAGCATTGTCTCGACCTATTTTCTGCAGCACCAGACTTTGGGTGCTCATGATTATACCAGCCGAATAGTTTTGCGTCAACACTGCGTCCTATAATTAACGATTCTAACGTGGTCTAACGAAACGTACACTAGCGAACAGACATGATAATAATATTGTTACTCACGTTGTGCCTCCACGTGATTTTATGATGCTCCGGGTTGGCCCAAACTTTGCACTCGAAGTAAACGTCATCGCCTTCTTTTATTTTCTCTGCGTTCAGAGTGCTGCCCAAGTGTAATTGTACTTTAGGTGGAACTACGGAACGGAGTATTCAAGTACCATCATCATCATTATAATCATCATCATTATTATTATCTGAACATTGTAATAAGAATCTCGACGTTCCGCGTACTCACAAACTACGTTCAGTTGAAAGAAGTCTTCTAGAAACGCGTCTGGCAGTGCTGGATTCTCCCCTCGACATTTCAGGATTTTTCCGTGGTCATCGGCGACGGGTGAAAATATTAACGTGCTCAAGACCACCGAGTCGTTCCCAGCGTCGAGCACCTAGGTTACACAGAAAATACCGATATCGTTAACAATCCCCAACGCGGATTTAATCGCCGAACGCAATCAATATTCCACGTACTTTGCCACCGTCGTAAACAGCGTTTGCCTCCATCCAAGTGATCTTTGCCCGAGGATGCGATCCGGCTGTCTCGCACGCGATGGAGTAATCTTTCTCCGTCTCGAGAATCGCTGGTTTCGACAATATTTTCACCGACAGTGGCTTCACTGCAAAGATAAACCATCAACGCGTTTCCTAAACTCGGAAGGGACGCACTTTTCGACACTCACGGTAAACATCTAAGAGAATGGCTTTTTCTAACGGAGGTATGAGGTTCGTGTTCGATGCTCGACACTTGTAAGTCGTGTTACGATGTTCCCTTCTTAATTGAGGTACGGTCAGTTTGCTGATGACTATGTTCCTCCCAATATCCTCTTGTCTGCTGTCGACTTCCTTCTCGTTGACCAACCAACTGACCAGCGGCGTCGGTTTCCCTGTATTCGAATCCAAAATTTCAGACAGTCGAACGAGAGATCGGCTCGTCTTTTCGTTAAACGATACGCGCAGCAAAAGTTACCTCCCCTCACTTCGCAAGAAAGACCAAACTCGACCCCCACTTGGAACGGTCCTGCTGCGTTCTCCACTTCCACTCCGGAGCTATCGTAAATCAACAGCTGATGGGGTGGAACTGGCAACGATTTAGAAATAATTCGTTAGACAAGCCCGTGAGACGCCCGTTTATCGTTCTTATAATTATTACCGATTACGGTGAGGTTCACTTGAAAGTTTCTCGTGGGCGAATTTTTGAAGTCTACTCTACATCGGTAGATCCCTTCGTCGTCCAGTTGAACCGCTTCTAGCGAGAGGGTCGCCGGTTTCGTGACGGTCACGAAGTAAGCTCGCGGCCCGACCACGGTGCTATCCGACCAGTTCAGGGCTTTGTTAAACGCTCTTCCTCGCACATCGAAACTGCAATAAACATTCGAACTTGGAATCTCTCGTATTGTTTGTGACGAGACCGTTGGTCGGACGTAAACGATACCTGTAGATCGGTTTCACGGCGTCGTCGCGGAACCAGAGCACCATGTAAACGCGATCCTCGCGCGTGGACGGTTCAATGTCACAAGGCAATCTTGCGGTGCGTCCAAGAACGGCGCTGACTTCAAAAGTCGCAACTAAAAAACGATACAAAATCAGTGTGTATGTAGGATCGAATTTTCTATCTTCGATTATCGGTACACAGATACAGGTACCGACACCGAGGAGAGATCACTGAAGAGTGATAGCCTCGTGGGACTTGACGTCGCGCGGGAAAGTCGACAATTTTGTACACCCTTTAGAACGTACTGCCACCGAAACGAGAAGTAGTATTCGAGACAGAAGAAAATTGCATACGACTTCTTTTGCAGGCAATAACGTTACCCGCGACATTTCTTCCAAGCGTTTCTCGAAGTTTTGAGAAAAAGAATTTGTATTTCTCCGAGACTTTGCCGAGGGCTGTGCCAACGTTTACACGGGCACTGCCACTTTTTAGTAATGTCTCCCCGTACTGGTACCGATCGATCGTTCGACGAGGAATCTAAATCGAGACATTCAAATTCCACTGAAACGTTTCATGCATACTGTTGTTCTCGTCAAAGTGCGACCCTCGAGCTTCCTCGGACTTGCTCTTTGAAAAGTAAACACGATTTTCTGCTACGCGTCGAGAAATATCGTCGTACAACGATTAAGTAAAACGCACCCAGATCGTCGTCCTTATCCCAGTTACCGGTGGCGTTCACGTAGACGACCACGGCGAGTATATAGCCGCTGATGAAGAGCTTGATCGCGAGCTCGACGAGCGCCCCTATCGCCATCCGAATGGGGATCGGTCTGAGGGGTGAACACGGTACATTCATACACGTCCTTTGCATAATGTCGCCGCGTGCCGGCCTGTCCCGTGATCCGTCTCCTTTATTATCATTCCACGTCGAGAGGTAGCGGACGGTCTTCTCCCACCTTCCTCGATTCCGTCCTGAACTTCACGACGTATTCGTACCCTCGGCGGCGGCGGCGGCGGCGGCAGCGACGGTGGAACAGGACGCAGGACACGCTCACCGATTAGCTTCGTCGCCGCAGGAACATCTCGACCGAATTTCCCTCGATCGTTTTCTGGTTAATGCCTGCATCGAGGATCCAATCCAATCCGATCTAATCCTCAGCAGCGAATGAATCCGCGCTCGCTCGTTCTTTCACGTCGGACGGCTCCTGGTAATCATCGAACGCTCCGTTCCTTATCGGGTCGAAGCGGAACGCAGAACGGCTGCCTCGTGCTCGACTCGTTTCACTGGCATCGATTCAAGAGGCTGGAGAACGCGGCTGGAATCGAACCGCGATGCTCGCAGCTTTAGTAGGTCGTGTACAAACGTATTCAAAATTATTGTCGTTTCACGAACCGAGGGGAGAGTACCGGTGGTTCTATCGGTCCGTCGTAACGCGAGGTTCGACAATGGCGAGAATGGAAGACGAGGACTGCCTTCGACACCCGTATCGCGCGCCTCGTGCACCTCGACACACGTATACCTCACGGGATATGTCGCGACGGAAATTTCACACTGCGTTGCGAAGGAACTCGCGTACTCGCTCTTCCTTCGTATCGTCCTCCGGAGAACGGAGCTACGACAGCATCCGTTTCCTGAATTATATAGGAACCACGGCCGAGGGAAACGTTCACCAAGATCACCACCGGTCACCGCGTTCACCCGAGCACACCGTTCCTCCGCTCCCGTGCGAGTTTCTCCAGCGGACCGATTCTGAAGGGACGCGAGTGGAACGCGAGGGCTCCTACCCTCTCTCTCTCTTGCCCGACGTACGGAGGGTTGCTGCTCTCCAACGAACGGAAAGGACGATAAGACGGAGAGCGAGCGAACGAGCAGAAGAGCGAGAAAGGGTGGAGAGAGAGAGAGAGAGAGAGAGAGAGAGGACAGCCGGCCAGCGGTGCTTCCTCGTAACCGCGTCGTTGCAATGGACACGCTTCGCAGGCGTCGCTAACCCGACGACGATGAGCGCCGATCGATTTTCGTAAAGTCAGTCTGATCTCGCTTCGTGTTTCGACGCTCTCGATTCCAGCACGATATATAGCCACCCACTCCCCACTCCCTTTTCTCTCTCTCTCTCTCTCTCTCTCTCTCTCTCGTCTGTACGCGTGCACATAGGCGCGCGCGCGCGCGCGCTACATAGCTCGTGAACAACGACGGACCTTTACGTCGTCGCGCCAACCCGGTATCGTAACTCGCAACCCCTTCTTTCTTCGCGGGGTGAGGACGCGAGCCAAGTCCGGGGGATGTTCATCGGGATTCGCGGTCGGTGTTCGACCGTTGCACGCGGTCAGATTCCATCGCTACCATTCTTACGACGGTCCTCTTTCGTTCGATGGCTAGGCTTGCGAACAACGACAGTAAACAGGTTCTTCCTGAAATAGATGAGGAATGAGCTGTTTTGGTTCTGATTTCGAGATATGCACTCTACCAGAGTAGAGCAGATAAGATTTCGTACTGATCTGAGGAACGAGTAGATTAATGGATACTGTTTCTGAATGACTTAACTTTGTTTTATGGCCTACGCATCGGTCTGATGAACGGTCGATGGAAGGAGTGTACAGGAGTAGTTGATGGAAAAGTCGAGGTAACTGTATTTAACAATGTCCAGTAAATGGACGTATTGCATTAATCAGGTATGCAACTGGAGTCGTGGATCTGTTTACCTTTTACAAAAGTTCGCGCGAGGTCCTGTTCCTCGTGCAACGCCGACTCTCTGGAATATAAAACAAACCGTAAGCAGGGAACGAGCGTTCACGCTCGTTCGAGGTTCCTCCCCCGGACAGTCGAAGTGAGAAACTCTCTCCTGTTAATAATGATATTATATTTGAAATAGTAATGTTTACAACATACAATTGCGATGTTACTACAGATTTTTTTGTCATTTTCTTTTTCTTCGTTTAAGATAATTGTTAATGCTCTTGCACGAAAGAAAATAATAGTAAACGGACGAAAAGAAAGAAACGTATAAACGGTCACATGCGTTTCACCTCGATTCTTTCATGGCCGTATTATGCGTTATACAGGTCTTCTCCGCGATCATCCTTTCTCTCCCTCTCTCGCGCTCGTACTCACTTTCTCTTTCTCTCTCTCCCTCGCACTCTGCTTCTCTTCTCTCACCTCTAATTCATTCTCTCGTTTCGGAGAACGCATGGATCTTGCGAGCCGATTCTGTGTCTAATCGCACGTACCTAATTTCTCAAAAAATAAACGACGAAAGTGTGCATACAGTAAACATCGGGCATCCGGTACCAGTTTCCTTTCTTTCTTTCTTTCTTTCTTTCTTTCTTTCCTTCCTTCTAATCCGTTCCTTTTACGAGTTTTTTTTTACGAAGAGGAGGCAATGCGGGCAATGGTAACCGAGGAAAATTAATCTCATTAATATATTGTCATATTGGTGTCTGTTCTCTTCTCATGCTCTAACACCGTTCTCCAATAAAAATGGGCGAAACTGGCCCATCGAAAAATCTCGGGTCACACGGATTACGCAACTCTATTTCTCTCGTTTCCTCTCGTTCGCTCTCGTTCCGCTGTTCTTTCTTCAAACTAAACTCTTCTCTCTCTCTCTCTCTCTCTCTCTCTCTCTCTCTCTCTCTCTCTCTCTCTCTCTCACGCGCGTTTTTAGCTGATTGCTGGCTGCTGCTTTGCACTCGTTCGCCTTAACAATAAGCAATAAGAACGCGACTTATCCGGTAGGTAGTCGTCGAACGGCACACGTTCGACCTGCTTCTCCTCTCCTCCCGTTTCTTCCCTTCTGCTTTTTTCTTTTCTTCGTATCTTTGCACGTACACGTTTCTTTTTTTTCGATTTCTCGTTTTCCCTCGTTCCTAGCAACGAGCAGTCTCACTCTCGCTGTGTTAAACGTACTTGTGACCTATGGACTATGGCACTTGGTGCAACTAGTTCGGATTTATCGGATACTGCTTACACGTGTAAAGTACTTATAATTATTGTTTATCGTTATCGTTAGTTATTTATGTATATATATATATACTTGTTTTTACACACATATATATATGTATATGACACATGGTAATTCGTGCGTTTCATTATGATACAAGCGTGCGCGAGGCGATACAGTCAATTTACTTCTTGCGCCGAGGCTGGTTTCCGAGCTTGCAGTACGACAAAGTTTTTAGCCAGACAACGTCCGTACCGCGTACTCTAATGAAATCTTCCAGGAAACTCGTTTCGTTACTGCGTAATAGCGCGTCCGTTATGAAATCGTCGAGACAGCTCGGAGGAGACTCGTTGAAAAAATGTATCGCGATGTATAAGAAATGGACGAGAAAAGGAAAGAAAGAAAGTCGTAAAAGATGAAGTTGGCTACATCGCCTCGGATAAGAACGTTCATCGAATCCGATTATCTTAATATCCTGTATATCGACTTACGGGCTAGGAGGCTCTATTGTACAATTGAATAATACAGTATATGTCGTCGCCGCTCGAACGTTGCAGAACATGGAGAAAGATCGTAGCCGATTCTTTTCTCTTGTTCGTCTATATCTGAGAAAAAGAAATTGATCGTGCGTGCACTGTCTTCGCCTCTCCTCATGTGTTTCATTTAAAAAAGAATGACTCTCCTCTCTTTGTATATAGGCCATTGTCTCGTTCCTCTTTAAACGATTACACTTTTAGTTTTTATTATCCGCTGGAAACGCGCGGCTCTTTCAATTCCTATACAGATCTCTCCCGCGCTAACATCCGCCTGTCCTACGAACAACGATAATGTTATTTACTGTTAGCACCAGTACGTTTTGTCAACTGGATCGCACTGTTCGAAACGATAAACGAACGGTCGAGCGTTCGACAGCTTCGCGTACCTTCTCGCTTGCGACACGAGATTAATAAATATCGAATCGAGTTCAGTCGCATCCCTCGACCATTGCGACGAAGCGATTCGTATCGTATGTTCTTTCACGACCTAGCGTGTTACGTGAAAAAAATTAGTTCGACTTGTTCGTCCATATAAAAAAGTCTCGTCGAACGTTCAATCCTCTCGTTGATAGATCAGTGCTCGGTGCGTGTCGTTCATAAATCAGTACGCGGTGTTCAAACCTGCCGCTTTCGCCTATTTAAAGCGTGGAAATCTTGCTTAGTCATCTAAGGAACGACGAATCGTTCCAACTCCGTCCGCCAAATCCTACTTACAGTTAGAAAAAGTATCTCTAAGGAGCAAAGTTCTTCGCTTCCCGGCTCATGTTACCCACGACGTTCTACCATTGTTAGAATTCTTCTTATTGTTACTACTATTATTCATCGTTTACCTCGAACATACGCGATATTCGACGCGAGCGTGTATTTACAATTGAACTTATTGTACATTTTCACGGTCCTCGTGAAAAATAGATGTTCTCTTCCCTTCTCTTTTCCTACGATCTACCGTAGCTGCACGCCACAACTTTCTCCCCTCCCTCGACGGTTTATCACACAAATATTTTGCTATCACGTACTTTCTTTAGAAACAATTCGACACATTTGGCCGCGGAACTGATCAAAACAATGTCCAGACAGGAAATAGTTGTGCCGTAAGCCATCCATTTTCCCTCGCTGCGTTCTTCCCTCTTTCGACGCGAGTCGTCAGACGGATTCTCTCGCGCGTAAGACACTATCGTTATGATATACCAGTTACAATACGAATCTAATATAATGTGTAACGATGAACAACGAACGTGTTCATCGAGAATCAAGGAATATACAAGTTCGTTCGGTTCGGAAGCACTGAACCACATCTTATGCATCGATCGGTCACGGCGACCGTTGCAGCGTAGACCCGAGAATTACAAAAGCGATCAACTTATCGATTAGTATTTCACTTCCTCACTTATGTATATTGTACTATATGAAAATACATACGTACGATGTAAGGCTGTGCTCGATGCGTTTCACCGTTTCGCGTGTGAATGTCGCGAATGAATCCCGCCGCCCGCGTTCCTCGTGCCTCTTAGCTTCCTCCATCGGTTCCAACGTGCCACCCGATCAACGCTAACTAATCGTCGGTGACAATGCTCCATCTAAAGCCGTTTGCGCTCCTCACTATCTAGTCCCTAAATCTGTTTCACAGGGTTCGTAGGATCGTAAAAATATATTCCATCTTCTCAATGTGGATAATTCTATCGGTATCAGTGAATGAAAGAGAACAGGGATACGACGAACCCGACGGAGGCTTAACGACGTATGTACACATCTGCGTATTTCATCGAGAGTTTTATGCGTGGTATAATATCGTTATTTGAGCTGCGCGAACAATTCGCCCCGGCGAACTCTCCAACTACCGATTACACGTGTGTTATGTACTTGCTAAAAATGTATCAGTAGTAATGCCCAGTACAAATTCTCATTGACGCTTGAAACAATATTTTACGACGGTTTTCAGATTGGTGTCTGAACGCCGAACGAGATCGTCCATCGCTTCGAAACAATTCTAGAATTCAATTGAACGACGTCGGAAAATTGTACTCGCTCCTCGAAGAACTGTCCCGGGCATTTAAGGATGTATTGGCTATACAGTCAATCCCAAAAGTTTATG